TTTTTGGTACCAGGGATTGAGGGACCTTGCTCTTGCAAGGCAGGCTGCGGCACCAGTGACCTAAATACTCAGCCCAGGAAAACATTTGGTTGTCTTTTTTTTTTTGTGGTACCAGGGATAGAACTCGGGTCCTTGCGCTTGCGAGGCAGGCCACTGAACCGCTGAACTAAATCCCTGGCCCTAGTTAAGTCAGCTAAATACTCAGCCCAGGAAAACATTTGGTTGTCTTTTTTTTTTGTGGTACCAGGGATAGAACTCAGGTCCTTGCGCTTGCGAGGCAGGCCACTGAACCGCTGAACTAAATCCCTGGCCCTAGTTAAGTCTTTAAGGGATAAGAAAAGATCACTGGACAAGTGAGGACGAGACATGAGTTGGGCAGATCTTGATTTTTCTATATAAAGGCATAAGAATTTTAATATCAGATTGTACCTTGAGAGATAGATGAACAAATAATGACAAACAACACAGGTATATGGAGTCCTCTTGGCAGAAGGCTAAAGAGAAATATCCTGAGGAAATGGCCATGGACTGCAAGAACTTTGGTGTCAATTTAACCCTTGCCCAATAGATACTAGGATCATGTGAGATCATAAAGTTATTTGGGAAATATTCCTTCATCCTCTATTATATAGGAGTTTGGGTAATGCTAGCAATAATTGTTTGTTACATGTTTAATACACTTACCCCAAGAACCATCTGGATTTGAAGTTTTCTTTGTGGAAAGGCTTTAATTATATATTTATGGTTGCCCATATTTTCTATTTTTGGTTGTGTTACCTTTGGTAAGTAATTCTGTAAAGGATTTTGTAAATGTTTTATCTGTCAAACTTATTGAAGTGTTTTAATTTTCCTGCTAGTATTTTGGCATCTATCGGATTCGTATTGATGTTTCACCTTTACTAAAATTGATAATTAGTATTATTTTTTATTTTTTCTTGATCAATTTCATTAGCCAGCTGTCATTTTATTAATCTTTCAAATGCACAAGCTATAGGATCACAGCTACATTTACACTGCTGTCCTTTTATTTATTAGATGGAAGAATATGTTGTTAATTTTTAAATTTCCTTCTTTTACATATTAATTTAAATATTACATATTAATTTATTTTTTCTCTGAATATTACTTTCAATTAATCTATAAATATTAATTTGTTGTTTTCTTTATATGTGTACTTCAAAAAGAAATTCCTTTAAATTTCTTCTTTGATTCATTGATTATTGAAAATTGTCCACTTTCATATCCAAATAGATACAGATTTTTTAGCAATTTTAATGCTGTAAATTTGAAATTACTGCTTGTATGTGTGTGTGTGTGTACTCTGAACTATTTCAGTAATCAGGCATTTATTGAGACTTCCTTATGATATAAAACACATTTTTAGTCATTGTTCCATATGCATTTGAATAGAATACATATTTTACAGTTTTGAGTGTAATGTTCTTTATATGTGAGTAAGACAATCTGATTGACAGTATTGTCCAAATCTTTTATTTTTACTGGATTATGTCTATTTTTCTATCAATAATGAAAAATGTGGTCATAAACTCTCTGCTTATCTTTCTGGATTTGTGTGTTTCTCCCTTTTTGTCAGTCTTTGCTTCATATGTTCTAAAATTTTTCTCTTTGGTATGGCTTAGGCTTATTATGCCTATTTGATATGTTGATCTTGTTTTAATTATAAAACATTTACTTTATCTGTATCAAAAGTCCTTGACTTGAGGTCTACTTTACTTTCATTACTAATATCATCAGAGAGGTTTTCTTCTGATTAATGTTTGTACAACATATATTTTTCATCCTTTTAATCTGAATGTATGTATGTATTTATATTTAAAGTGTATTTTATATTGGTAGCATTGGGTATTGTCTTCTCAAAAATCTAGTGCTCTCACTTCTGTCTTCAGTTGGAGTGTTTAGTCTACTTGCACTTCATATGGTTATTGATAGAGTTGGTTTTTAATCTACCATGTTAGTATTTGTTTTTGTATGATGTGCTTTGGCTTTTCATTGTTATTATTTTATGCAGTACTTTTTTTTTTTTTTGGTGCTGGGGATCAAACTCGGGTCCTTGCGCTTGCGAGGCAGGCCACCGAACCGCTGAGCTAAATCCCCGGCCCAATGAAGTACTTATTTATTCTAGTTACTCTTGAGCAGTGATTCTCAATCTTTTTGGCCTCATAACTCTTAAAAGTTAATGAATATCCCAAATAGTTTTGCTTACGTTGACTACATTCATCAATATTAATCTTATGATAAACTCTGAGGAATTTTTAAAACGTAAGAGCACAAGTACCATTACTCTTCTAAATATTGCCAGAATCTCTATTTGAATGCTTACTGGCCTATGGGACTATTCACTGCCTTTCAGAGAATCAGGACTGTTTTCACTCTATGGATGCAAATTCTTAGCAAAAGAGCAATGTGAAGTACAAACTGACCAAGTATAGGCTATGTATGTCACTGGAACAGTTCCTCAATTCACAGACACGATGTGGATTTTATTCTGAATACACTCTTTGGAGAAAAAGTCAATATTTCAAAAATTTGTTTGTGAAAAAAGATCAACGTGTAGAATGGCTTCTAGTAACCGATCCAATAGAACAATTCTACGAAAGTTCATTATGAACTAGCGGTAGACAAGGAGCTCTAGAAAGTTAATAAAAAACTAGCACACATGGAGGAGGAATTTCTTACCCAGCGCAATCCAACCTGGAATAGTGACAGAGGTATGTGTATTTGTCACAAGTCCTTAACTGTGTTCTATTTTTTTCAGATTCCATTTCTTACAGACTCCTGTTGAGGCTGCACAATGGCGAGCCAAGGAGATGTTTCCACTCTTAGAGGCGGTGAAAAGAAGGTCAATAGACAATCTTTAAGATGCTCTTTTTGGAATTATCTTTCATTTTAATGATCGAGAACACTTGTTTGATTTCTTAGTGGCATTTGAACAGGTAATAAAATGAACAACCAGGATTGCTATATGCACATTTTTTTTCAGGGTGAAGAGATGTGGGTTCCCTCTGGGATTCTTTTTTTTTTTTTAATTGAGTTTTTAAACCTTGTACCCAAATGAGGGAAAAAAACCCTTAACATGTGCTCACAAAAGTAACTCAGCAGTGGTGAGAACACATGTGAAATGAGTGACTGCATCTATTTAATTTATTTTTATCACTTTTCATGGAGTTGTTTTGAAGTTTACCTGAATTTCCACATATAATATACATAAACAGGGTTAACAGTCAACAAACATTTACTGCTGTCATTATTAGCAAAGCTGGCCCTGTTATGATATTTCATACAGACTCAGCAGGGTTAAATGATTTGCTAATGGAACGTAGTGAATAAATGTTAATGACAGGATTTGCGCTAAAGACTCATAATTTAAAATTCAGCCTTCTTTCAACACACTATGATGCCAATTCCACAGGAAAAATTTTTTCTTGTTTAATCTATTCCAAATCAGTTTATATGGAAGAAAATAAAAGATTACTTTTAGGCAGTGAAATAAAAATATGATTTAAAATGACCAAACCATAAGTAAAAAAATGCTAAGGATTGAAAATGCTTATTAGTCATAATTGTTTTATCATAAGATTTGTATTTTAAGGTTACTTCATAATCTGCATTTGCAGATGATACCTGAATGTAGATTTAAGTAACTTTTTTTCTTTCTTACAAATTAGTGTTCAGGTACATTCAGTACCACAAATATTTATGGCAGGTGGTAATACATATACACGGAACTCAATACTGGAAATGTTATTTCTGCTTCCTGAATACATTTGTCAATGTGAGACACCAGTGACAGGTTCTAGTTTTAAAGTTACAGTATAGAAATTGTAACCATTGTTCAAAGTTCTAGAAAAGCATCCTTTCAGAATTTTTGCTATTAGGCTGAATCAAACATGCTTTGCTGTCATTTGGACTTCAACAGAGCCTTACAATTCCAAAAGCATCTGTGCTAGTCAAGACAGATTTTTCTAAGAACTAAACCGAAAATGCAAAAAGACCATTACATTATTTATAATTTGAGGTTATCATAAGACAGTACAATAACTAGCACAAGTATACTTGATAATGAGATATCTAAAAATAAGGAAAATATACTCTGCAATTATACTGTTCAGTTTGTTCTGTTTCTTTTCTATAAGAGAAAGTTGCGGTTAACATGACACATTTTTAAGAACCACAGCTAGAAATTTAAAATCATGCTCACATTTGGGTGACAATCAAAAGACACTTTGCAGGGGGCATGATAAAAATTATGTACTCTTGAGACATAACTGGGCAGAGAGAAATAGCATGTGCTTCACCCTCTGCATTAAGATAACCTTTTTCTCTCTGATCAGATCAGGACTTTGGAATAGGAGTCATCACACTAATGCCTTTAATGCCTTTATGTATTTAGTAAATATGTGCTCTACTCATATGTATAAGAGGTTCACTGTTTGTCAACCTTCCTAATTTAAATAAAAAATTCAAAATCATTTTTCACCTAAAAAAAATTTTTTTTTTTTTGGTTTTGTTGAGACAGGGACTCACTGTGTAGTTGAGACTGACCTGTAACTCACTATATAGCCCAAGCTGTCTTGAACTCATAGCGATCCTCCAGCCTCAGCCTCCCAAGTGCTGGGATTACAGGCATGCGCCACCACGCCCGGCCCTTTTCACTTAGTATTTAGGGATGAGGTCACTGCATTATCATTGTAAATGGACATGATAATGCACCATAAGCAGAGGTCCATTTAAGGATAAAGAACAAAACTATAAAACAATAAATTTAAAGTTCCTTTATATTAGCATGTTCCTAAGAACATCATTTCCTAAATGGTAACTAAACTCTTTTTTGATCAATATTCAATGCATATGCATACACACACAGATATATATATATATATATGTATATATATATATATATAAAATCATATTACGTAGTCAAAATAGTTATTTACAATGTACTTTTTTCAAAGTATAATTTAAAGACATGATAAACTCACCTTAGAGAGGCCACCTACTTCCAAATAAAAGCAGATAATGAACACATTCCAGGTGATCCAAAGGGCAGTCCATACTGTGTACTGGGTAGAAGTGGGTGGATGAGGGAGAAAGAGAAGAAAAATGTGGCGATGAAAGGCACGTATACTAAATAAATAGAAAACAAACATGTCAATCTGTCTATGTCTTCTGGGAAGAAACAGATGAGGAACACTCAGAAAAGAGTACTCCTTATGAGACCTCCTAAGATTAGAAATTAAAAATCCAATAGTTTCTACTGCTGTCAGGGGATGCCAATAAAGCTAGATTTATTTTTAAAGTGCTTTGCTGGCATGTAGGTATAAGTTAAATCCAAATACTTGATTTCTACTTGCTGAATATTATCTTTTTCAGGAAACACAATTATGCAATTATTCTGTGAGCTATCCATCATTGTGTCTATCTATCCACCTACCATCTTTAAGTTACAATATTAAACTGTCAAATTTTTAAGACTGTTACTCAAAACACAGAACTTCTATATCCCTGAATGAAGGCGATGTGTAGGGTAAAATTAAATGAAAGTGGATATGTGGGATAACATTAACAAACTTTCACCTGTTTTGACTATTTTTTGAGAATAGTATGTACCTCTATAACCCCATAAAAATATGATCATATGAAACAATTTAAAGGGCAGAAATTAATAAATGGATTAAAAATAAACAAATGGAAAATAGATTTCAATAATGGAAAAACACCTTCCATTCACATTCAACAAACTTTAAACTTTCTGCCCTTATTGATTAACTAGTTTTATTAAGATATCATATGCTAGGAAGTGCCTCCCCCTGAAGAATTAGAGAATCAGTATTAAAGTTGCTTTTTTTTTGGTACCAGGGATCAAACTCAGGACCTTCCATTTCCGACCCGGAGGCACCACTGAGCTAAGTCCCCAGCCCTAAAGTCGCTTTTGAGCGGACTTATTACTGGAGAGGATCTTACTGCTCATCTCACCAACTCACTTGTGCAGACAAAAGCAAACCAGAGGCTTGCGCTCAGAACAACTTGGATGTGGGAGAGGAGGACATGCCACAGGACAAAGTTAACAGATCAGGTACAGTGTTTTCCCCTTTCCTCTTACTTCACTACCAAAAGTATGAATTCTTAATTTCTTAGGCGAGCATACCATCACCTGCTATGAGTGACTACAGCCATTTCTTGTTCTTGTTAAATTATATATTGAAATCTCTCCCTTAGCTTGTTTTATGCTGTGACAAATAGGATTATGAGTTTTAGATACTAAGGAAAATAAGCATGTCCCTATTAGAAATCTTATCAGAGTATTTACCTATTTGTGAAGTTTGATTTGCATTTTATGACTTTTTGTTATCCATGGCTTTTACACTTTCAAAAGAGCCTCAGACAGTTATGCAGTTCTCTAAGAGCAATGCATTTCATATCGTAGTTTTTGTTTTTTTTTTTTTTTAATTGAGTTTATTGGTACATTTAGGGATACAGTACAGTTACATTCATTGTTGGGATCATGTACCTTTACATGGCAAGTCTTGATTCTCATTTTTTTCCCCTTACCTCTGCCCTCCCTTCACCCCCTCCTCCCCTCCCCATCTACAAACACTTTATTTTCATCTTTTCATTCTCTCACATTTTTTTCTTTTCCCTTTTTGTTCTTCCCCTACGTATCACACCTTCCCTACACCTTTAGCTCCTTTCCTCCCATTTCTAAATGTCAGTAATCTTATTAGAATTTTATGCATTGTTGCAGAATATTCACACCAGGGAAACTATTCGGTATTTACACATGTGGGACTTATTTATTTCACTTAGGAGTATATCTTCAATATGTATCCATTTTCCTATGAATGAATCTATTCTCTCGCTCTTTATGGCTGAGTAATATTCCATTTTATAGAAAAACCACAACTTCATATCGTAGTTTTTAAAGAGAATGTTTTGGTTTTTTAAAAGGTTATACAATTATATAATGTGCTAAATTTCCAAAATTATTATGAATTTATGATAATATACTGAAAAGTTCACATAAATAAAATATATTGTGAAGTTTGTTGGCACTGGTAGATATTGGTGATGCAGCCATATCTTCTTTCATAAAGTTTCGAAATATGACTGGACTTAGTTTTTTAAAATGTTCCAAATGTATTAAATACTTGCCTGAACTACAAAAGATTCCCATGAATATTGAAAATATCTAATCTATATCTTTAAAATTATATACTTATATATTTGCAACTATACCAACAATGACTGCAGCATATTTTGGAAATTTTGCTAGTCTCATGGCATTTGGTCTCTGATATTTTCTAGTCTAAATAAATGAAATTTTAAGTGAAGTAGAATGCAAGAGCAATTCTGACTGTGAAGTCATGAGAAAAAATATAGTGACAAGGGTTCAGAGTAGAACCTCAAAGAAAGCAAGGCTAGAAAGTAAGAAAATGAGCGGCATTAATTACAAAATCATATGATCCTAATTAGTTGGAATTCAATCCTAAACCCGTATGTATTGCTTTAGGAAAAATCAATCAATTCACAGTCATAAAAATGGGTAATAAAATAAACCTACTTAAAAATCAGCAAAAACTTTTCACTGAAGGGTTCTTAGGATCTTTCAAACGTTGTATTGTTGATATTGAATTTTCCAAATAAAACTACTAAGGTAAGTAGAATCGAACTGTCAGCTCCCAAGTGCTAAACAATGACAAGGGCCATTATTCTGGTGTTTTCTGTGTCCCTGCTATGGTGCTGTGCACCTTTCATAGGTCATGCCATGCAGTCTTCACAGTGAAACCAAGGCACAGAGGTCATCCTTTGATCCTCCAAGGAATGTATACTTTTGCTCTTGGTAGAATTTTTTTTTAAAGATCATAGGAAAATGACTAAATTAATTGTGAATTACTCTTTCACAAACTTTTGTATTCAATCAAATCACAATTAATCAAATTACAAGTTTACCAAAGATTTATTTCAGTCATGTAAGTTCTGTAATTGTCAATGTTTGTTTTTTGCAACTAATATGTCCTGTATGATATGGAGTGACAGATGTAAAATTTATTCTAATACAGTGTTTTTTGTTGTTGTTGTTTTTTGTTTGTTCTTGGTACCAGGGATCGAACTCAGGGCTTTGTGTTTGTGAGGCAGGCGTGGTGCCACAGAGATAAATCCCTGGCCCCTCTAATACGTGTTTAGAACAAAGAATGCATGATTGAATTTTGGATTGTTATCAGATATAAACTTTATTCCTGAGTCTTGAGACACATGAGTACTTGAGACATAAATCTGACCATAGATACACAGGGAAAGAGATCTTTGGAAATAAGGCATGCACAAGAATTCATCCAGGCAGAAATATTAGAAGAATCCTCAGGTTATGAGACTGGCTATCCTTCCTGCCTTGTTTTTGAGGCAGATTATTACATGTATCAACTCCTCATGATGAATGTAATCATTATGTACTGCAAACATATATTAATAAAAATAAAGAAATGAAAAATTTCAGTTGACATATGAATTAAACTGGGACATAAAACTCTCTATTTTTAAGAAATATCCCTTTTTTCTATTATAGATTGTGCTGACATGCTCATACATCCAGGTAGATTGAATGTATTTGCAGTATAGAGGACAGCTTCTCCATGTAAAACAAAAAATAACTCCATGTATTTTTTCTGTCTCTTTTTCTGTATCCACTTTGCTTCTCTTCATTACACATAAAAACATTTAACACATTTCAACATTACACATTTAAATCCTTACTGCATATTTTTTTCATTTTAAAGAACATTTTTAATTGCAAAGTGGTACCTATATTCCAGGGGACATTTGGATAATATGCCAAAAAGCATACTGAAAATAAATTAAATCTTCTTTGTTTTTAAAAACTTTATTAGTACATGTCTGCAGTAAAACAGTTTACAATCTTTGTGTGGAGTTGGCACTTTTATATAACGTATCACAATTCCCTTTCCATTCCTTTCCCAGCCTGTCCCTCCCTATGTCCCTCCATCTGTGGATTCCCCTCTCATTTAAGAAAGATCTATCTCTCTATGTCCTATTAAATATCTTTTATTTTGCTCTTTTTTTTTATAATTTGGATTTTTCTTATAAGGGAAACAAGGCTACATTTAAGACCATGTGTCTGATTTAAAATTACAGTCTCTATACCTAAAATGTACCAATAAACTCAATGAGGAAAAAAATAAATAAAATTATATTCTCAAGAAAATTATTTTTCTAAAATAAGTCAAGCTTATCTTTCTTTATGGCAGAGTAGCTCTCCATTATATGGAAATACCACATTTTCTTTATCCACCCATTTCCTGATATACAGGCTGGTTCCAAGATCTAGCTATTATAAATTTTGCTGCCATGTACCTGGGTATCACAAACATTTTTATACTCATACCAATAAAGATGAATAAAGAATATTAATTATTTCTATGTGACTTCCTAAATATTTCCTAGTGTTAGAAGGACAGTTCAGAAGTTTTTATTTGAAATGAACTTTAGAAATCTCACAGTCTATTTCTTCTCCATTAAATAATTAGTCTACAACATGAGTTATTTTTACTTTCTGCGCTTCCTCATTTCCCCCTTATCAGAAAGGCCATTTGGTCATTTGTTTTTTCACGTGTGTATTAATCAGCCACAATATGCACAGTATGCAAGATGTATAATAAAATAAATAAGGTAGTGTCCTTGCTCATTCACTACTCTAACATTTTCTGGAGTTTAGTATTCACATCCAGAAACTTATAAGAAATCTGCCAGCCATACATTCTACTGACAAGAAAAGCAGAGTGAGAGAAAAAGGATACATTAACATTTAGCAGTCCAAGCAGTCTAAGCATTTATCAAGCCTTACTCTACGGTAGGCTGGGATAAGCAAGTCATCCATATTATGTCTTCAAAGGATCTATGAATCAGGTTTGTGCAAATGAGGTAAATGTGGCATGAAGAAAGCAAAAACTTATGTCCTAAGACTTCAGAGCCAATAATTGCTAGGAGGGGATTCAAATTTGGATGGACTGAATCAAACCTTAACATTTGTTGTCAACTATCATGTTGAGCAGTAGCTCAGGGACTTGTGATAATATGGTAGAGAAAGTTTGCTATATAGCAGTTCAAATTAAGCCGTGTGTTTTTGTTGTTGTTGTTGTTGCACATGAACACTTGTACGGAGGTTGAAATAATTAAATTGTAGGCCTAGCAAAATTTTAGAAGATTTAAAGGCAACATTGAGTTAATTTTAACTAAGAAGTTAGTCTTCATTTTAAAAATGTTAAATATATTAGCTAACTTTTTTACCTTTAAATTAAGTCTGGTTGATAAAATTAACACATCAATGAACTAATAAAAAATTTTAAAATGCTAGGCTAAACACTTGTTTTGGAATTCTCAAGTAAATTTTTAACTATTTGGCATAGGGGTAAATAGACAGGAAACAACTGATTCATTATGACTGATAAATGCGATTTCACTGTTTCTTACTGTCTTTAAACAAAACAACAAAAAGATGCATTTAAACCTCAACACCAAACTTGATGTCTCCTTAGCTAAAATAAACTTTAATCAATAAAGCAAAACTATCTGATAAAGTCGTTTCTGTATTCTAACAATAAATCTCTCCACATTTTCAGCAGTGATGGTGTCTGGAGCAGAATTACTGCTCTCTTATTTTGTGATTGGGACAGTCTTTGCTGTCCTAACTCGATTACAGTGGCAGAAGCCCATGGCTTTATATTTATTAGAAAAAAAAGATCTTGAGGAATAAGTAAGCTAGTGGCAAGTGCCAGTGCCTGGTGCAGGTGCCCTACGGTGGCACACTTCATTTCACCAGGTAATTTCTCAGCTGAGATCTGATAGAAGCAAGGGAGCAAGGCCAGTTTTTGTTGCTGACATGTTCTAAGAAATCACTGACTAGTCCATCTTTAAAGTCACTGATAAGAGGAGGGAAAGGGGATCTTAAAAAGGAATTAAGCTGTGTTACATACATGTATCAACTCCACACAAGTAGTGTAACATTATGTATATAAACTTGTACTAAAAAAAAATAAGCACTAGGCGTCTTTAAGGGTCTAAATCTATCTCACTAAATCTCTAATGCAGCAATGGAAAGGCACAGACCAGCCTTCGAGGAGCACAAAGGCAGAGAGGCAGTGATACCTGGTAAAAGGTGAGGTTAGAAAATTAACAGGATCAGTGACAGCACAGAGCGTGAGGAAGTGAGACCTGAGTGGAGAGATCACTGGGAAGGCTTTTCACAGATGAGAATTTAGTTGAAGGATTATGAGCTTTTTAAGAGCATAAGAAGACGAGGACATTCCAGGCAGAAGATACAGCATGTGAGAATGGAGTAGACAAAAAGAGGAAGAGGTGTTTGGAAAATGCAAATTCTTCATCGTGACTGGCATGAGGTTAGAAGTTTGCCTCTAGATATCATAGTGCTTGTTTTCCATTGTCGTTTTCCTAACTCACTTTCATAAGTGATTAATTTGAATTCAAGTGTGATAAACTCTACTTGTCAGAAATGGCATTCACTTACCATCTGTGTTTTTGCAAAACTAGACTGTGAGCTGCGTTCAATCATTTCAATTATAGACATATTTTATTTATCTCTGGGTGAGCACTTGGCATATACCTGGTATTCCAAAATGTTTGTTGGTTTGAAATGGATTAAATTTAATTAACATGTATTGGTGATATTTTCGGCCAATAAAGGAGACCGATACTAAGAGCAGCAGAAGTGATTTTGAGAGAAAATCTCCTGTAATCAAGAATCTCTTTTCCTGTCCAGAGAAAAGTCTGTATGGATTTTGGATCCAAGTCTCCTCTCACCACCAATGAAATGTTGCTAACTCAAGACACACCTTGATTAACTGCTAACCTTGACTGCAAAATTACAGAGGATAATACAGATTTCAAAGGGTACTTGGGAAGATTAAACCAAGTGAAATGTTTGTCATGGAGGGCTTTCCTACCAATTCATAGCTGTCTTTCTCCTCTCTCCTGGGAGAGAATCAGTAAAAAAGCAAATAACATGACAGAGATTGTGTTGGCATAATACAGTAAAAGAAACAATCAAATAAGTAAAGATGTGAATTTCTTGTCTCATAAGTATTTTCCTTTGACAGCTTGATTATAGGGGAACCCTGTTGGACCGTGTGGAATGATAAGGATAAGATGGGAAAACACTGATTAAAATGAATGGTACACCAATTACATTCCATGTTCTCCAGAAACTCTAGGAGAGAAGACCTGAATATGAACAAATTATGAAACATGGTCCAGACACATAGACAAAGGATCAGAAAGAAGGTGATTATCAAAATGCTTGGAGGCATGTGTACATGAGGGACTGAGAAAATGTTGGTAGGGCCAGGGAAAAAAATACCAGGCAAGGCTAAGACAGGAAGAGGCTGGAGAGACAGGTGGGAGCAGAGGACACATAGGTTGAAGTGTACAACCTCTGAATATTGTAATGTCAGGATTTGTACAGATACAGGATCCCTGGGTTCAGAGCAGGCCAGAGGAAACTAGGCAGACAAAGTCTAACATATCATTTGCTTGCAGATGCATTCATACTTCATTGGGTGTTATTCTTACAACACAGTAAAATAAAAGAGCTTCAGAATTTATAGATAGATTCATTTTCTCCTGTCTTACATTTTTTAACTTTCAAGTGGATATCATTTTCTCTTGTTTGGTAAATGACAGTGGAAAGGACAAACTTTGAAATTTTTATTTTTTAAAAGTTCACTTTTTTACATTTTTACTTTTTTGGTAGTGGATATTGAACCCAGTGTTTCATGTAGAATTTAATAGTGTTTGCATTAAGAGACATAATAAACGTAAGACTTACCACCATGATGTATCGAGGTCTGTATTGAATGGTTCCAAACAAACCTAATATTACTACTATTATATGTAGAAAATTCCCAAGAATTGGTGCCCACTGGAAGCCAAGAAAGTCAAATATCTGCCTCTCCAGTGCCGAGATCTGCAACCAAGCAAAGAAAGTTCATCAGCAACTAACCCAAGCATCATTGTACTATATTAACCTTTACTTTATAGCTGGAGAAGTTGACTACACAATTTCAATCATGTTTTTGAACAGCATTATCACCAGATTGTTGTTTTATTTTGTTATTGTGCTAGGGATCAAAACTAAGGCTTGCAGCAATCTGAACAAGTTTTCTACTACTGAGCAACACCCCAGCTCTTATCCTTAGAATTGTAGGACCTATTTCAGACACTATTTTCTCTCAGGAAATACATTTAAAAAATGGAATATTATTACTTTAAAATTAAATTGATCATAAACCTATTTGGAGAGCCAAAGATATACTCTTTAAATTGCTGTTTACAGTAGAAAATTTAGAAAAATATGGCTTATATTTATCATTATATTTATTCGTGCGATTGGCTTGGGACAACCTATTTAGAATAATAACCAATAACTTCAAGCTTGCAATTTGAAAATTAATATCATTTTAGAAATGAAATGAAACAACAACAAAAAAATCACCTTCCTGCGTGAAATATACACTATATCTAGGATTTTTATCCTTTCATTAGACTACCAATAAAGATAATGACCAAATACTTTTTCAAAATGAAGCTTCCTCACTGTACTTTGGGCTCAAGAGCTTTAGATAAAATGAAAGTTTAACAGTCCTATTGAACTCTATTTTACTAAGATCAAATGCCTAGAGGAAAACTCAGATTAGGTAAAAAATCTGCTTTGAATACCTAAATAAGAATTATGCGGTCAAAGCAAATTTAAAAATAACATAGTTCATTATATTTGCATTATGTATAATTATAATTTTAAACAGTTTTGCAATGTATCAAACCATACACTGAAATTATTTATGATTAAACAGATGAATTTTAGACAGTCCAATGAATACCAACAATGTCATTATTATGTACAAAACGTTACAATTCCATTTGCTGTGTTTGGAGACTAATCTTACACATTGTGACCATTTTTCTAGATTTTCTTTGATAAGATAGTAATTCTAATGAAGTGAACCAATGATTAGCTATATTGATGGCAAAAGAAATTGAAGCTTTCAAATGGAAATAACAACCCAGGTATTTTTGTACTTATGCAGCAGGTGCATGCCTGAATAACTTTAATGTCCTTGAACATAAAGGAACAATCTCCATCCAGTACGCTGCATTTACCTTGGTTATAATTTGCTTTCAGCAAACTGTGGAGGAAAAGAGACAAGAGACAATGCCTGAGAACAATCACACTAGATCTACATTCACTTTATGGGTATTTCCTGATCTGGAAGTGTTTTGTCACCAGCTTTTGCATACACAGATGCAGAGAAATGTTAAAACAGACTAATCAGAGCAGTGTAAGAGATAGCACTGTATTCTCAGTCTCATGTTTGTCTCTCCATCTGCCTGTAATTAGCTCCCAGGAACCATCCCCAGAAAAATGTAACATTTTATTTATTGGCTCATCAGTGATATAAATATGCACCGCTTTTTATGTCCAAAGAACGGGCTTAGGGAAAAAAAAAAAAAGCAACCCAAAGAGAAGCCGCAGGAAATTCATTCTGAAACAGCAATCCTACTTAAAAGCTGTCATGCATCACAAAAACCTTTAAAGTGAACTTTTCAAAACAGAGGAAAACCTATTTCCTCTTCTGTCAGAAAATGTATAGTGCTAGCATTTATGATATTAAAGATAACTTATATAATGAAAAAGAACCCAAATTAATGTCACTTGTTAGATATTTGCCTTCTTTGTTCAAGATTCCCTAGGTACCTATTTGTTAATTTTTATCTACCAAAAATTTTAGAGATGGATTTGAGGAGGACTGAAATAAGAGCACAAATAAATTGCAGCAAAAGTCATCATATCAAAAATAAGGCATAGGAGATAAACAAGCAATGAAAACTAGATTTGAGAAATAACTGCATTTTAAAAAGCCAGCTAAGAGTAACAAAGAAACTTTCAAATATAAAATATTATTGTATTGGGCAGCTTTCTAGGTGATGGGACAAAGCATTCAACACCCATAACTCAAAGGAGGGGAGGTTTATTTTTCTTCACACTTTCAGTTCATGGTTACTTGACTTCTAAGCAGGAGTGTCCTGGCAGGAAGGTGTGGTGGCAGAAAGCTCCTAAACTCATGGTGGCTGGAGAGCAGAAAGCAGGGGGAGAGCCTAAGAGGAAGGGACAAGGATCTAGGTAGAGTTCTCAAGGTCAGACCTTCATGACTTACTTCCTTCAGCTAAGCCTCACCTCCAAATAGCCCACTCAACTATAAACTCATTAACACACTACTGAGATCATAGTGATCTTACAACCTAATCACCTCTTCAGGAGTCTCTTAAATCAAGTTGACGATCAAGAATAACTGGCCAAGTCCACTCCTGTCAACCTGACACCTAATCGCATTTCCTTAAACCATATTTAATCTCAAAACAAACATAACAACACAATGTAACTATCTTGGGTACAAATGAAAACACTGAGCCCTTTCCCGGATTCTTAACAGCTCCACCATTGCTCTCAAGAATCACATTCCAAAGTTTTTTCTGAGACTCTCTGGAAACTCTTAGTTGTGAGTCCCTCTAAAATCCAAAAAGCAAGGAAAATAACCCCAAATACAAAGACACAGGATAAATTTTCCCATTCCAAAATGGAAGAATACTTGTACCAAAACAAGATCTAAACTGAACAGTGCAAGCATTAAATCCTGTAACTTCATGTATGACATCAGGGACACATGGTGGTGTGACCATGAGCTGCAAACATCTTGGGTAGCACCCCTTTCATGATATTTCTGGCTGCAGCCTACACAGGCTCTCTCTTGGGTCCACTTATAGCCAGAAGCTTTCCTTGGCAAATGCTTTATGTCTCTGGTATCTCCAATTTCACGTATTCTCCTTCATAGCTTTGGTCCATTCAGAGCTTTACGTATTGCTCTAATAGGGGATCCTGGCAGGAATCCTAATAACCATGTCATACATTGCCACTACCTCTAGGCTTTGTGTTAATAGCTGGGTAGAACATCCATTCTCTGAGACTCTATATAGCTTTTTGCAATCTGCATACCTGTAAAGCTAGCATCATGTGAATGACGTCAGAGCCTACTGTCAGTGGGTCCAGTAGTCAGGCCCCCTGGACCACTGGCTGTAGGAGACTCTGATGGCTGACCATGGTAAAATGAACCAATTCCCTAGGAGGCCCTTTTCAAGCAGGGGATCAAGGATTCACTCTCTCTTCTCAAGTGAAAGGTTTATACTTTTGCATTCTTGAGCCTTTAATGGGTAGGGTCTTGCTAATTTCTGAAATGCTTTTGTAGTGTCTTTTTCCTGGCACTAGTTCAAAATACTTGATTCCTGTTTAATAACACTAATGTCTTTAGCAACAACACCACTCTTGACGCTCACTAGACACATTTTTTTTCTGGAAAGACTGAACATTTTAAAAGTCTTTCTGTTCCACTTTGATTCTTAATTCTCAGAATAAATTTTACAAAAAGTAGCCAGTAGTAAATGTACCAGAACGTGAACACTAGATCAAATGGAAAATTCCTCTGTCAGATGAATTAGTTCATTGTCTTTTAACTCAGTCTCAAAGATTTTTAGGGCATGGATAAAATACAGAAAAATTATTTTCCAGACATAACATAAATGGCTTCTACTCCAAATCCAATAGTGTGTGTTCCCAGCTGAAAGTCTACAATAAGATTGGTCTTTACTGTGCACATTCCTATCAGCATGCTGGTCTTCCAAGCCCTGACCTGAATCATCCATGAAGCTCTGCTTACAGCATCCCATCCAAGGCCTTCTCTAGTTCACTTCTCCAAACTTTTCTTTTGTAGTTTAAATATAAAATCTTCCTCCAAATTTCCATGTGTTCATAGATGGGGCTTTTGGAAGGTGATTGTGTCATGAAAGCCATACTCATAAGTGGATCAGTCCATTATAAGTTCATATCTGACTGTGCTTTTAGAAGGTGGAGCCTGCCTAGAGGTGGGTCACTGGGGCACCACCTGAAAAAATGTATTCTTGTTCCATGTTCTCTCCTTTCTCTGCTTCCTGGTTACTGGAAGGTGAGCATCTTTTCCTTTGCTACAAGCCTTGCTCGTGTTCTTCCTGCCTTGGAGCCAGCCAGCTGTGCACTGAATCCTTTGACATCATTTCTACCTCTTTAAGTTGCGGGTGTCAAGTATTTTGTCACAGTGATGGGAATACGATCAGTAAATTTTTTAAATTACTTTAACAAGCAAGTTCTAAATACTTCTGAATCACCTCAGATACGATCACAGAAACATCACCATTTCTCTGGTGCCACTTTTTGTACTTGTCTGATTTCCCATTTCTTGGACAAAATACCCAGTACCTACAACTTACAGGAAAAGCTTATCTTGGTTTACAGTTTCAATGCTTGCACTTCATGGCTAGCTGACTTGACAGCATAGAAAGTCCTGGTGAAAAAAGTTGCTCAAGTCTGACACTTGAGAAGATATATCAAGGAAAGAGGCCAGAGAGGAAAGGGGCAAAGACAAGATCTCCAAATGCTATGCCATGATGATCTACTTCCTCAAATTAGCCGCCATCTAATAGCCCATTCACCATTCGCATAGTGAGTTCTATGAACTCACTAGGGTGTTGAACCCCTGATGAGGCTTAGGACCTTACAATCCAATAACTGCTCTAGGAATTTCTTAATCTTATCAAGTTGATAATCAAGATTAACTGGCACAACCACTGTATTTTTAATAATTCTTTTATCTAATTCCCATCTTAAGGTAGTCATTAAATTTACTAATAAATATTTCCTTTGTGAACAGAACAATTTCTAGAGATGCTACTCCCCCCCAGATCATTATATTAATAATTATTATTCCAGCCACCCAAATGAAAATAACTCAGAAAAAAGTATAAATATAGTTTAGAGATATTATTATCAAAACAATTCTAATCACAGGGATAATGGAGCCCCCGACATTGACTGGTATTCTGGATTGTATACATCCTTTCCTATCTCAGTGATCAAAGATGTCAAGCTAGGAAGTTGATATTAGCCACAATGGGAATATTTATAAAATGGAAACTGGAAATTTCAGGGTTTGTTGTTTGTTGGCTGGTTTTGAGAACATATTGTTAAACATTTATCTCTGTGTCACTGAAGATGCCACATAGGAAATAGTGGTTGTGGTTAAGGACAGCAGTAGTAAGAAGTCACCACATTTGTAGAGTAGTATAAAAAGAAAGCTACGAAGCCCGGGTAAGAATAAAAGGATGGGATGCTCAAAGAGGGTATCTGTGGAGATACTGCATCAGAAAGAAGAATAAATGAGACATTTGAGGGACTTGGGGTTTAAATTGAGTTTGAGAAACAAGAAAACATAACAATAATAAGATGCTTCAGGACAGTAGAACCAAGCAGTCAGTAGTTTGAAACAGAACAGAAAGCAATGACCAAAATAATAGTGGAATCATTACCAAATGAAAGCTAAGGTACGACAGTGGGAGCTACAAAGAATATGATGAAAATGAATGTTTCCTTGTCTAATGAGCTAAAAAAATTCAGAATTTTAATAAAAATGCAGTAAAATACAGTAGAAATGCACATACTACCTTGCATAATTGTTCATAATAATTATTCCTAACTATGAAAATTAATTTTTACTTAATTAAAGAGCTGTGAGAACTCCAGGTGAACAAACCAGATTTTGGGGCATTTACCTCGACTAGGTCTATAGGATAAGTGTATGTCCACATAAAAGCCCAGGGAAAAGCCTCATCCGTAATGAATTATTATTTGGTAGAGGTGACACCACAGTCAGAAAACTGAGGTACATTTCACTCTCCTTCCTCCCTGGGCTTTTCTTCTGCTCATTGGAGACAGGTAAAAGAATTGTAAGAAAGTGTTTCGTTGAGCCAG